GTAATCTACATTAGCCAGCTTATGTCATGGTCCATCAAAAAATCCTAGATCAATATTGGTTTTGACGCTAACATTCAGTTTTCATCTGAACATTTTTGCTTCGAACAATTTGAAAGAGTCCTACCTGGTCTCTTATAATTGCATGGTAAAGGCCGAGATTTGCGTTCCAAAAGATCATCAAGCATAGAAGTCCTTAACATATTACATTAGCAACAACACTACTTTTCCTATGTCATTGCTTTTTTGTTTAAAACAAGAGAGCCAAACTCTGAGATCGCTTCGGATATCAAACTGTACCAGTTACCACTAAATTCACTTTAGAAAACTAGATGTCAACACTCAAACAGATTAAATCAAAAAACCAGTGCCAAAATTTAACTATTGGCGATACCACACACAACAACATTCAAAGATGCAACTAAGAAACATTCAGAAAATTTAGTAGCCTAAAACACATGTCACCAGCAACATTAATACTATCAGTTTTTATTCACTTTCCGACAACTCCAGTAACATAACCAGAGTGGGTTCACAGCTGAACACTAAGGCTCTTATACAATTCGGCACACAACCTCTATTCTTTTGAATATTTTTCTTCTGCTTATTCCTTCATCATACCAGCAATCACAGAAACAACAATGAAACCGTAGCTATCAAACAAACATTTCAAATATGCATACATATATTTTTTTTAAAATTCTTTTCGAGTTTTCTTTCTTGATTCATACTTGACACAAGAATACTGTGACCATCAGTCTCTCATTATTTTTCTTTCGTACTCATGTCCATTTTTTCACACAGACACTTACCATATTGAACCTCTTCTGTAAATACCTCGGAGAAAAAGAAGCACAACATATTGCTGATGCACTAAGAAATAACACCGTGACCATCATTTTCTCATCATCTATCTACAACACAAATTTCCAATTTTTTCACACAGACACTTATCGCACTAGATCTCTCGACCAATCAAATCGGGGATACTGGAGAACAACATATCGCTAATGCACTCAGAACTAACAGGGTAACCATCCTTTTCTCAGGATCTATCTACCATATCAATTTACACTTGTTCACAAAGACGCTCAGCACACTGAATCTCCGAGGAAATGGAATCAAAGAGGATGGAGCACTACATCTTATTGATGCGTTTCGAAATAACACCGTGACTATCATTCTTTTCTCATGTTCCTACCATATCCATCTCCAGCTTTTTATACAGACACTCACCGCACTAGATCTTTCGTCCAATGAAATCGGAGATTATGCAACACAGTATCTGTTTGATGTCCTACGAAATAACACTGTGACTAAATTCTCTCATCATCTATCTACGATTTTTCATCTTCACTTTTTCACAGAGGCTCACCACATTGCAGCTCTCTTGGAGTCGGATCAGACCAGCTGGTGCACAACATTTGGCTAATGCACTACGACATAACAGCGTGACAATCATTCTCTTATCATCTATCTGCCATACCTATCTCTACTTTTTCACATAGACGCTCACCTCACTATCTCTTGACAACAATAAAATTGGAGACATAGGTGCACAATATATCGCTGGCGCACTAAGAAATAACATCGTGACCATCATTCTTTCATCACCAGTCTACCATAAATATCTCTACTTTTCACACAGACACTCGGCATATTATCTCTCGAGCATAATGAAATTGGCGACAAAGGAGCACAAAGCATTGCTGATGCACTAAGGAATAACACGGTTACCATTGTTCTCTCTTGATCTATCTGCCAAATCCATCTCGAAGTTTTTGCACAGACACTCGCTGTACTTGATCTCCAAGGCAATGAAATCGGAAACCCAGGAATAGAGTATATCGCCGATGTTTTCAGAAATAATACCGTTATCATTCCTCTGCCATGATCTATCTACCATCTTCATCTGCAATTTTTCACACAGACACTCAACATACTTGATCTCCAGAACAATAAATCCGGAGACCTGGGAGCACAGTATATCGCTGAAGTCTTAAGAAATAACACGGTTACCATTCTTCTTTCATGACTTATATGTCATATCCGTCTCAACGTTTTTAAATAGACACTCACCGCACTGAATATTGGAGTGAATGGAATTGGGCACAATGGAGTACAATGTATTGCTGATGCACTAAGGGACAATACTGTGATCCTCATTCAATCATCATCAACCTACCATATTTGTTTCAACATTTTCACATAGACACTCACCACACTCAATCTCAGGGGGAATGAAATTGGAGACAATGGAGCACAATGGATTGCTGATGCACTAAGAGACAATACTGTGATCATCACTGCCTTATTATCTATCTAATATTGTCATTCCCATTTACTCACAGACACTCACCACACTGGAACTCTCTTGGAATCAAATCAGACCACTTGGAGCACAACATCTGGCTAACGCACTACGAAATAAAATCGTGGTCATCATTCTATCATGACCTATCTATCAAACCCATTTCCGCTTTTTCATACAGACACTCACCACGTTATCTCTTGATTTCAATGAAATCGAAGACAAAGGAGCACACTACATTGCCGACGCACTGAGAGATAACATGGTAACCAGCCTTCTGTTATCATCTATCTGCCTCATGCATCTCCACTTTTTCACACAGAGGCTCACCACACTAAACCTACAAAGTAACAAAATCGAAGATGAAGGAGCGCAACATGTGGCTAATGCACTACGAAATAACACCGTAATCATTATGTTCTTATCATATATCTACCATACCGATCTCTGCTTTTCCATATAGACACTCACTATACTATATCTCGGGGGAAATCAAATAGGAGATAATGGAGCAGAATACCTAGCTGATGTCCTACGAAATAACACTGTAAGCATCATTCGATCATCATCTACCTGCCATGCATGTCTCCATCTTTTCATGCAGACACTCATTACACTCGATCTTCAATGCAATAAAATCGGAGATATAGGTGCACAGCATATCGCTGATGCATTAAGAAAGAACACTGTAACCATTATTCTCTCCTCATTAAATTATCATATCCATCTCCACTTTTTCACACAGACACTCACCACATTAAATCTCATGGGGATGCTAATCGGAGATAGTGGATCACAACATATCATCGATGCATTAAGAAATACCATGGTAGCTATCATTATACTATCAACAATCTGCCATACCCATCTCTACTTTTTCAAATAGATACTTACTAAACTACATTTTGAATCGAATCAAATGCGAGACGAACTGGAACTTCGATTGCAAGAACTTATTAGTCGCAACAAGTTGTACTAAAATGCGTGAAATGCTATTTTCAGTAGAACTCTGTTGAGAGCTTTAATGATTCGGCGCAGATGTGATTTATATTTGTCAATTTTTGTGTGATAAACAAGGTTGTCTTCAAACTGCTTGTCTAATATTCTCGATAAGGAATAAGGATGTGGATGTGGAGCGTGGGTGTCCGTATTCATTTCTCGTTATCCACACCCACATCCCACACCCACATACATATACTGCATCCCTTTACCTCATTGCTGTTGACCTTTCAGTTGTTTATGGAAGTCAAATTCTACTCTTTGATTGCTCAAACCACCGAGTTGGTGTTTGCTTATTTTGACTAGAACAATGATATAGTTCTATGTCGAAGTCAAGACTCGTGATGGTATAAATTTCACTCATGATCTAGAACAGTTTCAAAAAATCAAATAATCGAAATATTTTTTTCTACCAGAAAAGTCGCATAAAAATTATCCAACGGAAAAAAAATAAATGTTCAGAATGAAATATTCTATTCTTTGGTGGTTAACAGTAACGAGAACATGTAAATGTGCTAAGAATGAGAAGTAGCTATTATTTCATTCACTTACAAGCTTGTTTTCGTGTTACATGTACTGAGAATATATTGCATCACATCTGAACAGGTTTTTTCTCACTTATTATGCTTCATAAAGTTTCTATTTTTCGTATGCCAAAAAACAGGAAGTCGAACTTTTCAAAACGATGACCTTTGTTTTTTAAATAATGTAAAAGTCAACTCCAGTGTCGTTTTGTTCGTTCAAGAACATGCAATATGTTTATTTCTTTCAAATGAAAGTTAAACGGGAGAGTGGCCACGTTTAAAATGATCGACCATCGAATTGTTACATGATCTATTGGACTTTCTCATCATTACGTACTTACCCCATTTCATCTGCATCAAGCATCAAACTTATTTCTGTCATCTGCCTGACAAAAATTCTGTCTTATGTTTCAAAAAGCGAAACATATTCGAATCCAATATAGTTTATTTTACCGAATAAAATTATTTTCTTACACTCAGCTATAATTTTTCTGAAAGGATGTCTGAGACTATTTGCTATCGATTGCTGAAAAGCACATCTAATGATCTTGCATTTCACTTGAGCTATTTCAAACAACATCTAAGTGCCTTGAATCCTGGTGCGAGTCAATTACTATTCTAAAAAATTTGATATATGATAGAATATGAAATTTAATGGAGTATTTCGATATGCCAACTATTCAATGCATTTCAATCATTCAACGATTCTTAACTGGCACTCAACCGCTTAATAGAAGCTCATAAACAACAATTTTCTAACTCGGTATCTCGGAAGACAGTGCTTATGATCTACTATTTACTACAAAAATATATAGTCAACATTCCTGAGTTTGTTTTCTTTCAATAATGTCAATGACAAAACTATAGCCTCTGTAGTGCAATATCATCAATTGGTGGAATATGAACTCCTTACTGTTTTTACTAATAAAATGTTGAGGCAACCCGGCAAAGTTTTGGTTACAAAGTCTCGTATTGTGTACAATGATACTGTGTGTTAATGTATCAACAAATAGATAAAGACTCATCATCATTTTATCAGTTAGTGACACAAGTCCAATGTCTAATGATGTTGTGCAAGACAAACGATAACAGAAAGAGTATATATTAACGCAGTTGTTTTGTTGCATCTTCTATTCAAGACTTTAGAAATTCTTCAAAAAAGACCAGCAATGCGAGTGCTCGTGTTAGTTCTTTTGATCGTTGGCTATGCTAGTAGCGCTGACATTCTGAAAAATGCTTTGCGAGCATCTTCGGGTAGCTCATCCCGTGCTACAACTAGACCACCATTCCCAACTTCAAGATCTAGTGCAAGACCGACAGTAACTACTCGTCCATACATTAACTGTTACTACTGCGGCGATCTAGGTCGTCCATGTCCTCAACCATTTTATTCATTCCATTCAAATGTACGGACTGTTCAATCATATAATGGATTTTGTGAGGTAAGTAAAATCATAATGAAGACGTTAAATTTCGAAACATTGCATTCAACTTGATTGTATTTTCTTATTCTTAAACGACAAGTAACGCAGCCTATTATAACAGAATGAAAATTTATGAAAAACATGGAAGGAAACTTCGAAATGTATTAAAGACAATTTCAAAATATCAAATAATGAATTATGGCTTACAGGATGTCATAATGTAAAGAAGGCATTTCATAGATTTCAAGTCTTTAAATGCCTTTAAAAACCTCCACGGTCAATGAAAACCCGAGTTTAAATTCCATATTTCTTTTCTACCTCTAGATTTAGCTCATCGCTGCATAAATGCTTTAACGGATTTTTATGAAACCTTTCACCGCATGTAAAGGATTACTCACAAAAGATACTATGATAAAATAATGAAACATCTCTGTATCGGTTCGATCAAATGAGCTGATTCTTTGGTTGATATCATGAATGCAATTTTACCTGTTATCAAATAAAAAAAATTACACGTGTCGCGCTTCATAGATAATTTCCAGTTTTCATCTAAGCAGATGATAAGAACAAGTCAAACGAACTTTACAAATGACTCTATAGAGATATAAGTAGTCCAAATTTTCAAAATTATCTCGTTTGAAAGTAAATAGTCACAAAGTTTTCCATTCCCAAACAAGAAACGCTATTGTTTGCAACGCAGTTGGTGTTGTGGTACCCAAAGAACTGTAGGTGTGTATTTTACTTATTAATCACGAATTAGTGCGTTTGAGCTAGCTAGGTTCGGAAAGTGGCTCTATTTGCATCACTAAAGAATCATTCATAAAGTTCATTTAGATTTGTTCTTATCATTTTTTTAGATGAAAAATGAAAATTATCTATGAAATGCTGCAGGTATATATTTTTTTACTTAATAACAAGTGAAATTGCATTCACGATACCAACAATAATATGCAAAACTAGTATTTGCTTATCTTATCCGTATGAAAGAAAAAGCCTTAAAAAGATTTCTACCATTAACCAAAGTATCAGTCCATTGATTTGAACCGACGTAGAGATGTTTCACTGTTTTATCGTACTGCTATTTTTGCTTCACTCTGTACTTTATACAGTATAGGGGCAACACTAAAATGTTTATAACTTTTGAAGGAAGAGGTAGAAACTAGAAGCTTTTAAGGCTTCCTATTATGATACGTTGGAACACCGGTTTTAATTTTTCACTCTTCTGTCCTTCGACTGGACGTTTTTGAAAAACTATTCGTCGGTTTGCGTTACCGACTCTGTTGATCGCCATCTCAGTCATAAGAGTTTGTGGGTGTTGGTAGAAAGAAGATCCCATGTTCCCACCCACATCCTGCATAATCTTAGTCATGTTTAGTTTGATCAGAACAAATACAAAATTTTTCTGTAATGAAAGTCGAAGATTACTTTCCCAACGTGTAATCCTCCTTCAAGTAGACAGAATAACCAGTATAATTGTTTAGAGTCAAGCAAATTAAACCATTCTTGTTAAAAAACATTTATTCTCCTCACAAATCTTTTTCTTACGACGCTCTTGGCCTATGCAAATCTTTATGAAAAAGTCATTTGAGAAGTTTCGATGATGCCAGTAAAAATTTTCTAAGGGTTAACAGAAGATATGGATTACTCAACGACATCAGTTAATGAAGAAGTTGAGTTTTATCTGTTGCAATGCGCGAATTTCAGCAATCATCAAAGACTTTAGTCGTTAAAAGCGCTTGTTGGATTAAAGAGGATTCATCCGTCAGAACCAATGTCTTCAACATATGAGATCATTTCTAATAGGTTCAAATTTTGTTCTCACAATGGTACAAAAAAAATTAGCTATAATAGTTAGTGGATGCTAGACCTCAGCACTGGAAGCTCATCTCAGTCTCACAATTATCAATGATTGAGTAGAGAAACAGCGATATGCTTATACTGGCGGAATACAACGCTGAAATGAAAAAGAAAAAATTAGATTTTTCTCAGTTCATCAAAGATTTTTTTCGCACATATTCATAGTTGTCGTTTTTGAAAAATATGTTTCAGTCGACGGTATTTCGTCCACTGTTGACTTTGTCTAACACCACCCTCTTTCTGTCGATGGACCTCTTAGTATGAATCATCTATGATAAGTACAATAATGATTACTGATTAGGATCCATTATTTCTTTCTCAACAGAAAATATATAATTACTTTCAAAATGAATTTTCAACGTTCTTTTACTTTAGAAAATTAGTCCAAATAATGGTGGCTTGGGACCCTTTACTCGTGGCGCTGCAAATCCAGGTGAATGCAGTCGAAGTGGCTGTTCTACGAAATATATTAATGGTCGATGGATGGAAGTATGCTGCTGTCGTAATGATTTCTGTAATATGGGTATCACATCGGCGAAATCAACTTGGGCACTTATACTCAGCACATTGGCAATGCTTTCACTTTTTCGAAAATTTTAAGTGATAGAATTTTTGCTTGTGAAAGATTTTCAACATTATCAATAATATTAATGTGTGCTTGATCTATAAGCAATGTTGTATTATATCGAACTTTTGCTCATAATAAAAAAACATTTTTTCTATGACAGTTCGTTGCTGAACAAAAATTAGCAAAGTGATTTTGTGACAAATTGACAACGACAAAGAATGAATGATATTCTCATTTTTGTTTCCTATCACACTTGAAGTCGACTGATTTCTTTTTACCCGGAAAGGATTAGTCAGTTTAGTTTTTAAACTAGGTTGAACCAGTCAGTTGAAATTCTATACTTGATCGACCGGTTTAAAAGATGAAAAGCCGACTTTCTTTACATATGAATCAAATAACTAGTTCTTTCGAGAAAAAGTGTATTACTACAGCTCCATAAGACTCATCTATTAAATCACGATAAATGATGTTGGACAACTTCTATGGCTTGTTTTGCCTCGTTTCGTCCGATAAAGATTGGAAGACTATATGAGCCACAATGTTGAATCTTCACGCCAGATTTCATTTTTTTAAGATTTCACAAATCTTGAGAAAAATTCTTTATGCATGTGTCTACATCAGAAAAAGATAGTTTAAAAAGAGCTACAGAGTCAATGGTTGGTTTAGACTAATAACTTGTGTAAAAACTAATGTCAACAGACAATGGCTGATTGTGGTTAGCAAATAGCGAACTACAGAAAAGTTTTGTCTTACATTCAACTATTTTACAGACTATTAGTGGTGAGTATGGTTCTTATTGATTATTTCAGCTACAACAACTTCTCCACCCATACCCTTCATAAAGCAACTGAGATGTAATTGATGTGGAAAAAAGTTTCATTCTTGCTTCCGATCGATTGAGTTAATGGAAGAAGCAGAATAGTAGAGTTAAACAACTAAACTTATTTCTCAAAAAGAAACATTTTAACGCCGAACGTTCAGAAGAAAGAGAAAGAACAATTAAAAAAATTCATTTTTTTGCTCCGATGTCGGTTATGAATCTCTTTTATTACTTCAACCACACACACATATCCTTAGATGTTGATTATACGAAGCAACTAGAAGAAAGTATAAAGGGTGGAGCAAGTTACCATGTGAAAAGTAATCACACAAAATTTTGTATTTTTTTCAAACAAAAAGTTCATAATTAAAATAAGCGCGACATTGTAGGTTGTAGAGCTTTTTATTCTGCATCTTGTGGTATATTTTGGTTTTTAGTGAAATATATTACTGGATGAAAAAAAGAAATACAAAACATGGCCACTCAATCTGCTCCAGCCGATGTATGTATAGCATCATAGTTAATATAAACCAAGACTTAATACAGAGAAGATAATCATAATCATTTTTCTCATTCTTTTCGTGTAATAAAACTCTTATATCCGTACATTATTTTATTGATTCACTTAAGTGACTTACAAATAATATGGCAAATTGCGATAAATAATTGTTTTTCAAAGTTTTCCTCTACATCAGATTGTCACTCATTTTGTTAAAAATATGTACGCAAAAGAAAAATCATCATGGATTTTATTTTCAAACTAATGTCATTTCTTCCACATACGATCTATGAAGCCAAAAAAAATATCATGTTCGATCTATTAATAAAATATATTCATTTACTACAAATACAGCAAAGAAAAGACTTTAAGATTAAAAAAAAATTCAAGTTCATTTATCCATTATTCAATTAGACAATTGTATTATTTTACCAACAAAAACAAAGTTTGTTTCATTAATTATAAATTCATCATCAGATCAGTATTATCTTGTACTAATAACTGTGCACTTCGTTCATTACCTTAGTTTAAAAACAACAAAGACTACTTCTATCCGCTTACTGCTGTTTTACAGAATCTATAACAATAACGCTCGCGTTATGAGTATTTTATTAGTTGAAATTCGTTGGAAATCTTTTTTTTTCGATTACTAGATGCAATCTATATTACTCAACTTTGGGTGTGGGTGTTTATGGACATAGAACATCCACATCAACACCCTGAAAAGACCAAAACAATCACATACACACTCACATCCACACACACCCACACTCTCAGTCAATTCTATTTGACGACAAATATGATTGAATGTATTTTTTTATCTTTAATAAACCTATATGGAAGTCCCTTTCAAAGTTATAATTCGAGACACTTATGAAATTAACTTTTTAATTTTTTTATAATACTATATGGAAGCCTGAACCCTAGTTATAGTCGGAGTTTGTTTTTGTTGCACTTTTCTCTATTAAGAGTACTTTTTCGACGAAAAGAATCAATTAGTGGAAAAGCGGTGAAGCAATATCGAATTTCTAATTATGGAAAGATTATATCGTGCGCTACTTGACTTTCGAAGAATGCGAAAAACGTCACTTGCGCACTAGAAATAAAAAAAAGAAGTATTGTCACGATTCTGTCTCATTTCAAGGCAAGTCATAATCACAACAGAAATTCGTTATTTCGTATTTATTCTTTTCAGGTAATTCTATTTTCCTTTTTTTTACTTTTCAGTTACCATTGAACAATCTTCCATTACAGTCATGACAGCTTGATTTTCGTGTCGTTTTACGTCTTTAGTTATTAATTTAGTTCCTCGGTAACTCGTGTGAGATCTCAATTTTGTCATAAAGTACCTCAAATTGATCGCTGTTCGACGAATCCATCGTGTGGCTGTTTTCATATGGTAAGTGCTGATGATGTTGGCATTTGTCGCTTTCTCTGGTCCACTCTTGTTCTGGACTTATTTTGTGTGAACCATCAACCAACGCTTGCTATGAGCCTGATCATGTCTGTGTTCGTCATCTTCGATGTCAGCTAGATCATCCTATTTGTTATCTGCTGTCTATATTCGATCAACAAATGTGTCCACTAATAATAACTAAGAGAAAAACAATTTATCTAGAAATTGACATGAAACTTGAATCTGTTTTCAAAATTCTATTGTGTCAGACCGAACAGACATGCATTTGCTGAAACAAAACATTGTTAGCAGTACTCAAAGAACTCAAGAAGTACAAAATCAGCTTATGTTCAACATTTCGATATAACAAAACGACAATTTTCGTCTATGGAACATTTGTCCTTTTTGGTTATGTCGCCAAAAAATAGGGGCAATTTTTTTGTTTTTCGAAACACAAAAAGTAAAATATTTGCACAATGAGTTTCGGTGAGATGAAATGAAGAATAACTCTAAAAAGTACCATAGCTAGATGTTTCCAACACTGAAGTGCAGAAGGCAGAAAAACATGTGCTCTGATGCATTGTCATTATCAAAACTCGATTTGGGTGTGGGTGTGGGTGTGGGGTGCGGGTGTGTGTACAGGCAAAGAGAAGACCCACAGCCACACCCATACAGCCACACCCACAGCCCACACCCCACACCCACACCCTGATAAGATTCTAATATATCCATTCGCTCCAAAAAAATTAATTTGATCTTTGTGATTGCACACAACCGATCTACATTTATCTAATACATGCGATTAAATGCATTGATAGACAATTCATAAAATTTGAAGATTTGCATGATAAAGTCTATATTTAAAGAAGCGAGCTTATCATTGAAATCTATGATTATGAACTATAAATAATGTAGAAGTGGTACATATTATTAGTAAATTGTCAATATTGTTGAATTTTCTTTGATAAATAGAGACTAATGACAAAATGAACATAAAACAACGATTAATTTTGATGGAAAGCAAAATGACTATTGTGATGATCATGTAAGATGTAGAATAATGCAAAGATTGGTCAAAAGACATAATCTGTAGATATTCATTCTTTTATATTTTGTTAATTTCATATAAATATATAATCTTTTTATTTTTGTTATAAAATCCGTAATTTGTTTATTCCCTTCTTTTGACTGAATAAGTCGTAGATTTTGAACACATTCTACTATTTTTGGTCTATTTCATTTCATGCATATTACAACGATCTATTGTTTTTACCAGAGCTCTGAGTTGGATGACATTATCCCATTGCACGCGTGAAAGTCTGTTAAGCGTTTTTTTATTTTGGCTGGGTACAGATCTTTTCTTTTTACATATTTACACTATTACACAGAGCCCCTAGTTTATTCAAACAGAATACTCATGCAAAATAATATGAAAGCTGTGAATGTTAAAAAAGAATAAAACTTAATTTGTATTTAGTGATCCATAGTGCTTTATGCTAATATACTTTAGAAGAAACTAAAGTTTATTTTAGTCAAAATTATAGAATTATTTAATGTTTGATTTTTAGTTCAAGACTTTGTGGTTGACAATAATCAATAAAATAAAAACAATTTGCAGAAGAATTTTAGATTATTCGGTATATGACTATCATTAATATGCTTTAACGTTTTATTTCTGCCATTAAGTTGTAACATCAAATATACTTGATAAATATTAATTTATGGTTTGTTGTTTATCGATATAATAAGTGAATGAAACAGTCATAGTACACTTTTTTTTATAGTTAGACTTGTGTGATTTATAATACAAGGAATACCTAAATATATAGGTTTTATATTAGTGTTCGGCGATTTCTTTATTAAAATAATTGTATGAAATACTAATTAGATTGATATTTTTCTCACTTATCTGTGCTAGATGAGATTCTATGAAGAATAGAGGAAAACAGAAAATCAACAAATGATTATGAAACATTTTCAACATTTAAAAATCAATTACAGACTATTAAATACATTTTTTTCATCATCTGTAGTTAATCTTTGTACTCTACATATAAACGTTTATTGTATCGAAAAATTTTCCTTGATTCTGAAGTAATCTATTGAGATTAAAAAGCAAAAAAAAAGAAGCATAATTGGAATATTCTGATTATAATTAAGCACATAAAACATCTTCTTTGCTTATACCACTTGAACATGAACCTGCATCCCATGCATATTTCACCTTGCTATCTTTAACAACTATTCCGCAGCCTGTACTTGTATAGGCTTGCATTAAAAGTTTACATGCCTGCTCACAATTCTTCATAGCAACATCTTCGCATCCACAAAGCTTGCATGATGAAATCTCCCACGACTGATACGGGAAATAAAGTTGGCTTGAAACAACTTTGCATTTACATCTATATCAAAGTATTTCAATTTTTTTCAATTTCTTCTACATTCAAAAATTTACTTTTACTTACTCTCGATTTATAAAATTACAATTGACACTTATGAAGAGTGTAAGTACAACAAGAAGAAAAAGCTTCATCGTAGGTTTTGATTCGAAAAATGTATGTAAATCGTATTTTTACTCTTGCATTTATATACTATACGTTCTAACTGATTCGTGGTTGTTCGTTTTTTTCCTCCTTTCATTACATTATTAACGGTTCATATAATAATTTGTAGATGTATGATTTGTATTAATGCCATAAAACTGAAAATGGATGATTAATAACAACCGATTTTAAATGAAAATAAAAAAAAGAGAAAATTTAAGAGCGAAAATGTTAATATGAATCAGACATACACTCAAGCCCAGTACCAAGGTCGATATGTAAATATAAAATGTGGGCGATACAGGTAATGTATTTCTTTTCAATCCAGATATGCCTTCGGCGACAATTACATCCAGATCAATACATGTAGAATAAGCAATGATACGCACGATTATGTTACAAAATCAATCCAGTATATACTTGAAGGTGTGAGTGTGAGTATAGTAAGAATGACTCACACCCACACTCCATAAATAAATATATTCGAAACATGTTTGTTATAACGGATGAGGCATAATCAATGACCACGTTTTATAATTTATACTTGCATCATTTAATACAATATTCCAAAGAAGTCTTTTGCTTCTTAGATATTGGAACCCATTAAGTTCTTCGTTGTTGAAAGTCGTTTATTAGTATATTTTGATCGACAGAACAAATCTAAGTTCAAATATTTTCGGATATCATGATTGAAAATAAAAAAAGAAATTTACTTTTATGCCGTGAATAACATCAAAACAAATTAGAAGAGGATTTTATTGTCACGAAATAGGCTTGTATCGAAATGTGAATATTTGCACGCCGAAAACGTACTCATATAAAGGTCTTCTTATGTTGGCATTTTCAATTTATAAGTTTTGTACTATGACGGTAAATAGCCTCGACGTAAACGACATGGATTAATCAATAAGCAAGTCACCAAATGTTTTGAGCTACTTCAATATAATTTTTCGAAATTCGTCGGATGTAGAGAGTAAAATCTAAGTATCATCTCACGCTGAAAGATTATCTTCTTGAATAGTTTATATTTCCTAAATGGTCACATCATAGTTCTAAAAGATTCAGTTCATGAGTAAAACGAGTACAGATTCTTTACAACCTCCTAAAACTGATTCATGTTCTGTGTTCTTTAAATGTTAGTAACTAGGTATAGATTAATGCATAAAATCGTAAGGATTGGATTCTATAAGTCTGCGTGAGAGGTTTAGGTCACATTATCGATGAGATGACAAATTTATTTTAAAAAAACTTGAAGATGTTGGAACTTTAATGATCAGAACACACTAAGATATGCATTTCTCGAAAGGTTTAGTCTATTGGACTTCATAGCTGACAAGGTCCAGGAGACTGAAGACTTTGTAGACTATTGTAGATTGTATTTCAAAAGAAAATAAACAATAAGATGCAGCGTGAAAAACTCTACCATTTAATTATTAAAGCTTGTTGCAATTGTTTTCAAAAAAATTAAATTTTTTCCGCAGCCGAAATCTACTCATTCAAAATTTTGCCCGTTTTGAAAACGAAATATGCAACAATAAAATAAATGGTCTGTTGTAGATTGTAGAGATTTTTACACTGCATTGTGTGATATTTTTAATTTTGAAATAAAACAGACTATATGGTGAAAATATAAGACACAGCCCTAGACAAACTTCTTTTCATCCGCGCAAGAGATACTTGAGAATCTTGATCAAGAAAGTCATGGGCTATGGACAAAACTTGAGTGTGGGTGTGGGTGTGAGTTGGCTGTGGGTGAGTGTTGGTGCTGGTGTGGATATGTGGCTATGGGTGTGGGTGTACTGTGTGTGAAGACAATACACACACCTACACTCTATATCACTGCATGAATTTCTTGAAATATGCGCAAACTCAAGCAAGCGTCCAAGTGCTTGTCTATGGAAAGAAAGTCATGCGCTATGAACAAAACTTGAGGCCAGCGCAGATAAAGAGCCGGGAAAAAAGTTCGCCTAGGGACTACACAGCCATTCGTATTGCTGTGAGATGTTTCAGTATTGATTATGAAAAAACTACATGAACCTTTCTAAAGAAGTTTGTGAATATAGGTTTTGTAGAGTTTTTCAAGGCACATCTTTTGAAAAAGAATTTAGATTGAATCATTTGTCCATACAAATATTCACAACATTTAGGTGTGGGTGTGGTTATGAATAAAGGAAAGATTATCACTCACACCTAAACCCACACCACACTCACGCCCAAAACAAATGAGTATAATGTGAAAGAACAAAATATTTTCGTGTACTATAAATTGAAAAAACGCTGTCGATATAAGCAAAAAAAGAAAAGAAGAGACATATATTTTAAAATAGTATGAAGGTTTACAGATAAAGTCTGAAATTTTCAAATGATTATCTTGATGAAGAATTAGTACAATGATTTTAATAGTGACACAGCAAAATGTGATTTTTCATCTATTCATCTGAATATGTTTCATTCGAATAGAAAGCTTTCGTGATCAACTATAATGTCTAAATATACAACTGATTAGTTTTTCTTACTGCTCTCTATGAAATTTCTTTAATTCGCAGGATTTTTCAATATTTTCTATTATTATATTTTATTTTTTTATTCAAATCTTAGACAACGTTTATTATTAAGCTTTTCATGTAAATAGATATGTCATTCACCAAGAACTACTTTTTTTTATGACTGCACAATCATAGAACACGTTTTACACATAAATTTTCACTTCTCTTTTAAAGATCGTCCAGCAAGCCAAAAAATGAGTGACTACAAACGTTTGATTCAATATGATGGATTGGAAATAGCAAATGATCTTTTAAATTCAAAAAAAGATGAAAATATTATATTGATGTGGGTTGATAATCATATCGATAACGAAATCAAAGATGCCATGACACAAATAAATGATGATGACAAAAATGATAATATCATTTGTTGTAATTCTCAACATGCAATTGATTGTATTGATAAAAATGAATTTGAAAAGATAATTATTATTGTAGCTGGAAAATATTCCCAAGAAATAATTCCATTAATTCATAACAAAGATAAAATTGATAGTATTTATATATTTTGTTTAAATTCAAATAAATATCAATTACTTATTGATATGAGAAAATATTCAAAAATACTAGGTATTTATACAGAATATCAACAACTATTTGATTTGATGTGTTGCAAAAAACAATTATGTTTATTAATTAAATTTCGTTTGTTTAATCAAAAACAAAATGCTATTCATTTTTTATCAAATGATTCAACAGGATACTTGTTCTATCAAGTTTTAAAACATTTATTATTTCTAATGCCAAAAAATGATCAAAATAAAATTGAAATGTTAAATAGTTGTCGGTATTATTATAGAAATCATCCATCACAATTGAAATTAATTGATGAATTTGAGAACAAATATATACCAGAAGATGCAATATCTTGATATACTCGTGATTCATTTCTTTATCGTATTATTAATAAAGCTTTACGTACTGAAAATATTGATGCACTTGTTAAGTTGCGATACTTTATTGTTGATTTATGTACCATGTTGAACTTAAAACATGATGAACAGCAGCAGCCACAACAAAAACAAAGAAAACTAGAAAAAGTTTATCGTGGATTGAGGGTTACTGATGCTGAAATTGAAGAATTGAAATTAAATGTTGGACGAATTATATCAACGAATGGGTTTTTATCTGCAACGCCTTCATCTGCTATAGCTAAAATGTTTGCAGCAAATGTTATATTTGAAATTGAAATAAATGAATCATTATCGAAGTAGAATAATATTATTTATGCTGATGTATCAAATTTAAGTTATATTCAAGATGAACAAGAAGTATTATTCGATTTAGGTACGATATTTCGCGTTTTAAATGTGACGTATAGTGATCATCGTCGTTTATGGATTGTATCATTAATAACAACTGCAGATGATGACAATGACATACAGAATAAATATATTACAAATAGACGATATAATGAAATGCTTAAAATTCCCGTTGGCAAAAATATTGATCAGCAACTGCCATACATATTTGTTTCTGTTTTAAATGAAATTGGCTTGTATGAAAATGCAATATCATTCTATGAAGATTCATTACAATTTAATATTATAAATGATGCAGAACTTAATCAAAAACTCTATCAAGATTTAGGTATAGCATATTTATATGTTAAAAAATATGATTTAGCACAAAAATATACAATGAATGCATATGATTTAGCTTGTGAAAAACATAATACAAATGATATAGCAGCTTGTCTAGCACGTCTTGCTATAGTTCATATGAAACAAGGTGAACATGATTCTGTTCTTTTCTATTTTGAACAAGCAATACAAAAATCAATGACTGGTCAAGATGGACAGGGATTTTGTGCTTTATTAATGTGTCATTATCACATGGGTGAAATATACTATGATATCGACAATTACACATATGCAGATAAACATTATCGCCGAGCGTTAAAAATATATGATATAATAAAAGAAAGTAATTCTGATCCTAAAATTGGTTTGATATACTGTTCAATAGTAGATCTCTGTGTCTGTCAAAAGAATTTTGATGATGCATTACAGTTTTGTCTGAAAGCATTAAAAATTTATCAAATATGTTTACCAGTAAATCATCAAAATTATGCAACTCTATTTTATTGTATGAGCAGATGCTATTATGAAACGGAGCAATATGATTTATGTAAAGAGTATAGTGAAAAAACATTGTTATATCAAAAAAATTTGTACAAGAGTTATGGGCGAGTGATGACTTTGCATCAATACCTTGGTTTTTGTTATAAATTGGAAAAAAATTATATAATTTCTATAGAGCATTTTAAAAAGGTTTTGATGCTTTACGATAAATTTTCATCATTTTCATTTGATTCTAATTTCGGTATTATCGAAATTAATGAAGAAATTGGAAAGTTATTTCATGAATTAGGACAATATGATTCGGCTATTGAATATTTTTCAATTGCACTGAAGTTGGCAAACGATAAAACGAATAAAAATGTATATTTAATTGCACGTTTATATAATGTTATTGGACGTTGTTATCAATATTAAAATAATGATTCATTATTTATGGAATATTGTCTGAAAGCAGTAGAATATTATGAAAAATGTTCTTTCAATGATCAGATAGATGCATTAGAAGATATCATTTATAATAATTATTTTATTGGATTCGCAGCTCAAGAAATGGATACATATGATTTGGCTATTGAAAAATATTCACTAGTTTTACAATTATTTGGCACACATTCATCTGCTAGCTTTCGAAAAAACATTAAAAAACTTTTTTTCAAAACACATGTTTTTATTGGTAATTCATACAATGAAACAAATATAAATGAAATGGCTATTGAACATTACAAAACGGCAATACAGTTGCTAAAAATGTATAAAGAAGAAATTGCCGATGAAGAGTATTTACAAAAAATTGCACATTTACATAGTTTAATCGGAGATGCTTACTATACCATGAGCGACGATCATAATGCTATTGAATATTATAATGAAGCTTTGGAATATAACGTTTTACCATCTTCAATAGCAGATGAAATACACACAAAACTTTCAGATTTATATAAAAAAGCTATTCAAAAATACGATCTAGTTATTGAACATTTAAAACAATCGTTAAATATGAAAACAAACCAAGACAATGGAAATATTCTCGATATAGCATCACTCAATAATGAAATTGGATGGTATTATTATCTGATTAGTGATTGTGATTCAGCATTATCATACTGTCAAAAAGCAGTTATTCTCCATGAAAAATATTTAGACACACTTAACAAAAATATGGATTATGTCAATGTTCTTAACCGTTTGGGTGTCATTTATTATAAGTTAAATGATCTTAATAAAGCTTGGAGTTATTGTTGGAGATCCATATCAATATTAAAACAAGATACGTCATCCATTGATGATTATGACATGACATATGCATTTAATTACGAAATATTTGGTCGCATTTTTCTATCAAAAAAGCAAAAAAAGGTTTAGCATATGTCTATTTAAATCAGGCCTTATTTTTATTTCAACAACAAGAATCAAATAATTGTACGCATAATATAGCAGCTATCAAGCAATTATTAGATGAGCAATTTAATAAAAATGATGATATGTATAACGATATTGATGATGAATTCGAATGGATGACTGAAGATATATGTAGTATCGAAAGTCTACCTGCATCACGAACCTCCAAACGGAGAAAATTTGCCAAATAGAAAATGTTGTCTTATATATAGCTTTATTTGTTTCTAATTCTATTGTGAAATGGAAATACCAATTGGATTATGAATATATCTTGGAGATGATATGACACAGAAAAGCTGCTTCAAGCAGTTATATGACATGTTTCGATTTTTGCTAGAGGTTATCATGATGTACATTTAAAAGCATTATAAATACATTGATTATTATAGTTAAATCGAATTTACTGTAAAAATATCAGTAAAATTCGTGAGATCAATGAAGAAAAGTTCTACTAAAACTGGTCATGATTTGCATGGTACATAAGTTCAGAATTCTCTGAAATATTTCGTCAATCGTACAAAAACTTTGCAAATGCGACAAAGCAAGTCTTTGCTACTATATTCACTAATACATCTCGCAATTTTTCTTCACGCAAAAAGCACATCACTTTAAATGAAAAACTTCGTCATTGTTGTTTTGTGGACCAGAAATTGCCAACACTGAGAAAATGTCTATAAATCAGTTGCTTTTTAATTTCAATAATCACAATCGGAATGAACCTATTCTGATAACCAGAACTAAAAAGGAAATCATTTGTGGACACTTTCTAAGAGTTTCAATAGAAAAAAATAATAATTCTGGTAGCCAAAGTGTACTTATACGTAGTACGGTTTTCGCTCAAGTATTTGGTTTTATTTGTAAAAATTTCCAGCACGGTAGAAGATGGTGTTAAATTATGGTATGCATGACTTATTGTATTTTTAAAATCAAATTCTAAATTAAAAAAATCCCTATTCGGTTACCAGGGTGTGGATGGGTGTGGGTGGTGGTAAAGAGAAGACTCCCAATCCACACCCACACCCACATTCACCCACTCACACCCATACACACCCACACCGTCTCTCTCTTGCTGTCAAGTGTACAGTACAAATCTATCTTATTTTTCTCATGTTTTTTGAAAAAAACGTCATGACTATATAAAACAAATTCTTTCACAAATATAGATATTTGTGAATTCTTGCTCAAAATCATTCGATCATGTCATCCTCAATTTTGATAATTTTCATTGGTATAGTCATAGTAAAGCTCTTTTAAACTAAAATTCGTTCGAAGTTCATTTATCTGTTAAAAAAGAACTGAACGTCAAAATATTCTTTGTAGTGTTTGTTATGTTGAGCGAATTTACAAGCCAATTTAGCTGCAGATGTGCAATTGATATGGCGCAATGGTGAAACGTGTCAGCGATGACGCCTTGAATCATCTTATCGGTGATATGATCGACATTCGTAGTCGCTTCGTCAATAACAAAATTTTGCACTTATTGAGAAAATGGCTTGCGCTTATACGTAATTTTTTTATTGTCGTTTCTACAATAAATGAAAGATTCAAGGACAAAAGCAAATGGAGGGATATTTTAATGGATTACTACATAAAATAGGTAGTATGTGCAAAGATTCGATTACCAATTGTTAAGGCGAAAAACATAAAAGGACAGACAAAATATTTTTTTCAATCCATTAGCACTTGCTAAAGAAAAACAAGAGTGTCAAGAGAATGCATATTATAGTCGTTCTATATATTCTGATTTCTCTTATGAAACGCATTGATGCAACGTTTATGTGTATAAATGATGGCATGTTCGAAAATCCCGATGATCATCACGCATTTTGGCATTGCGCTAATGGAAATAGCTATCTAAAATATTGTCCTGCAGGCTTGATTTGGTCACAAGTAGAACAACAATGTGTTTATAATAGTAAGTATCTCTTTGATTCGTTGCATTAAAAGATGCTCAAGTTGGAAAGCTAGAACTATTGTGAATTTTTGTCGGATGATCGTTGAGGAAACGATCCATTGTAGCTGCAAAGTTATTCTGTTTTTTAAATTCTAGTAGTAGAAACGACAGTTGCAGTAACAGCATCATCATCAACAACAACAGAAACAGTGTTGTCAACGATAGAAGCAACATCCAGTGAGTTTTTTTAAAAGTGTTGCCCCAGCAGTATCCTCGGTAATGTGAAAACTTGGGATGAATGAGCTTTTCACATAGAAGTTTTAACTTTTATTTTTATTTTAACAAAAATCCTAGCTTTTTATGTTGTTCAAAAGAGTGAGTGTGATACCCTAGTTGTCAGTTTGAAAAAATGATTGAATACATTCCAAGGCGGAAAAACTGATTTCTTATGATTTCTAATATCAGAAATAAGTTTTTCTCACTCGGCCGAAAGTCGCTATAAATCGTTAAAAAAATCATCGGAAATCAAGAGATCACTTTATCTCATATTACCAGCTATTTCTAATGATTTTTAGTGATATAAAATTATCTCTATTGATTTCTAAAAAAACAAACTAGTTTTCTCCCTTGCGCCATTCATTTCAAAAGCAGCTAGTTTTTCATCCAAGGAGAGATCTCTTTGTCTTGACAGTGTAGTTTGTTTCTCTCTTGCTCCCTAGAGATCATCGGGACCACGGTTTTTGATCCCAGTCCCGTAATGTTTACTTATGGTTCTAGTCTCTATTTGCTCACAGATCATTCATTTCATGCAGGTCTTCCAAACATGCCTTGTGGTGTCAGATGGACTCAGAACGGTGATACCGTCGCTGGAGGCAACGGAGAAGGCAATGCTTCCGACCAACTCTTCAATCCTTGGAGTCTCTATGTGGATGATGATCAAACTGTCTTGATTGCTGACTATGACAATCACCGTATTGTGGAATGGAAGCCTGGTGCAACGAATGGTCAAGTGCTGATCGGTGGCAATGGACCAGGAAACCGGACTGATCAGTTGAATGGACCAGCGGATGTGATTGTCGACAAGGAGACAGATAGTCTCATCATCTGCGAACGAGAGAACCGACGAGTAACGCGATGGTCTCGTCGAAATCGAAAAAGTGGAGAAACGATCATAGAGAATATCGATTGTTGGGGGTTGACGATAGACAATCAAGGATTTTTATACGTCTCTGATACCCAAACACATGAAGTGAGGCGATATCGCTTGGGAGAAACGAATGTAACAGTGGTGGCGGGTGGCAATGGACTAGGTGACCATCTCAACCAACTTCACTTTCCTACCTACATCTTTGTTAGTCAAGATCATTCTATCTACGTGTCGGATAACAGCAATAATCGTGTGGTGAAGTGGGTCAAGGATGCAAAAGAAGGGATTGTCGTCGCTGGTGATCGAGGCGAAAGAAATGATCTGATCCCATTGTACTATCCTAAAGGAGTGTTCGTCGACTCGTTGGGCACAGTCTATGTGGCAGACAGTTGGAATGATCGAGTAATGCGTTGGTGCAATGGATCGACACAGGAAAATGTCATTCTTGGTGAAAACGGTAAAGGACAAAAAGCAAATCAATTATATTATCCCATGAAATTGTCATTCGATTCGCATGGCAATCTCTATGTCGTCGATAACGGGAATAATCGAGTTCAACGATTCTCAATCGAAGTCAATTGATGTTGTTTGTTTTTTTGTAGAGAATTTCGAATAAAAAAGCTGTCTACAAAACATTATTGATTCCTCGTTGCTCACCAGCCCTCCGCGCGATCATGCATGAAAAGATCAAATTTACTCACACACTAACGAGTGAAACAACCACAGGTACTGTAAAAAAAAGCGTAGATTAATCAACCCTAAAGACTTTTCAAATCCATCCTTCGAGCCTTGATCTTATTCTCGATCAATCATTATTATCATATTCCTATTGGTAGACGTCAATTCTTTGTATACTGATCATACTCTATGATGGAAGGAAATAATTGTGTGCAAGTTGTTGTGTATTGGAAAGTCCATCAAGACTCATTGTTATCGTACTGGGCGGATCTTTTCCTGTATTTCCGTAGGGTTTAGCAACGAAATTTGGTATTGAAAATGTAACGAATCGACTTTAAAAGATAATTGAAATGAATTTCGTTTCATTCTCATTTCTTTACGGTGTGGATGTGGGCTTGGGTGCGCATTAAGAGAAGACCCTCACCCCACACTTTCAGCCCGACCTGCACCCACACCCACAGCCAGACCCCAACCCACACCCACACCCACACCCTTCCGGTAGTTTCGTCGTGAGATAAAAAGGTACACAGAAACAATTACCAGTATTATGTTTCATCCCAAGTTGCAGCAGTCCCTCTTTCAAAACAAAACAGTTTATCGTGGCATAGTGCTTTCACATAAAGCACTAGTAGAAAAACATCTGCCAGATATGACAATAATTACAACTACATTTCTATCTACATCAACGAATCCGAGAATAACTGATATTTATTGTGATAAACCTAATGAAGATGAGATATCAATATTTTGCACATACAATATGGATAATACTAGGCGTTCTACAGCATTCGATCTTGCGAAACTAGTCGGTACTGACGACGAGCAGGAAATATTGATCTTACGGTATATACCATTCAGAATTACATCACGTTACGAAACCGAAGATGATCGAAAAGTAGACATATGCTTTGATGAATGTTCAGATCATTCAAATGCAGTAGAAGGAAATAATATTTTTTTTACAAGTGTATAAGTTCAAGCGAAAGCCAAATAAATGAATGGAGTGAACAATGATCATAATGTCCAAACATGGATGTGACGATGTGGCTATGGATGTGTAAATTAATAAAAAATAGAATGATTCATGTCTTCATGAAAAGACTACTTTACTGTTTTAATCTGAAGTGTTGCTTTGCATCATATGACTAACATAAGTTCATCCAGATGAATGCTTTTAATATGCATAAATGAATCTTTTCTGTTTTCAAAGATTGATATTAGTTGACAGTACTCCAAATTCAACACGTTGCTTATGCTATTCACAATATAAATTGGAAATATATCAATCTTTCCAAAAATAAGCTCACTTTCGTATAATTCTTTGTTCTCAGCTTTAAAATACTATGTATTTATCACACGTAATTCGCAACTCGAGTTTCAAGAGAGAAAAATTGAATATATTTCTAGAGACGTTTCTTTTTATAAGATGGCCTGGCAATGACTTATTACGTTCATTAGTTTTATATTGGCCCATGCTATTAAATATTTACTGTATCAGAGAGAATTTATAGCAATAGAGATACAAAAAAGTGCACATCCATCGTATATGAGACGGAATTATCAATCAATAAGAATAGAGCTATTCCTAAAACTCTTTTCATCTACAAATAATTGATGTGAGTGTAAAATAAGAGAAGAAAGCACCCTGATACGCACCCTGGTTTATCATTCTTAGCAACAACAATGAATATCAAATCGATCACTATCACAATCGTTTTGAATCGACTATCATATCTGGAAGATTATTTATGAATATTATTATTATTGCTTAAATATCTGTTTCGTTTGGTGATGGTGACCAGAAAACTGATATGGAATGTGTTCGTTTGATTGATTCGGTTGGTTTGAAAAATCGATAGTTAGATAATGTCATCGACTTTTTGAGTCAAGATGCTTATTCGGATGTAATTAAAAGGAACGCTCATCAATCAATCGATGAAAAATCGTATGAAATTCTAGAAAAATCTTAATTGAATAGAACTTCCCGATGAACATGTGATTCTTGATTATGAGTAATTGTTTCAACAGAAAAAATTCCGATTACTTCAGGTTAAAAGATAGTTAATCGACAACCAATTACAAAAAAATAAAAATAAAAAGTAGTCCATCATAAATCAATAACTGATCCAATACATGAAAACTTTCAATTAATTAGTTTGTTGACCACGACAGATTGGACATTGCGTTGACGTCTAGAAAAAGACAAATCAAACTCAATTATAAGAAGAACAATTTCTTCATCGTATACCTTTAGCCATGGATCAATACATTCGGGATGAAAGAAATGTTTACATCGTAAACGTTTGACAGTTTCGCCCGTTTTATATTCACTTAAACAAATTGCACATTTCTCGTCAGTGGAGCTCGATTTACTTGTTTTTCGATAAGTCATCGTAGGTAAACGTTCGATATCATTGTCGCATAGACCAACGGAAGGTGGTTCATCACGAGGAAGTAAATCGAATAGGTCCTTAAAGGAATCTAATCAATGAGATAGATTCAGATAAAAAACTTACGCCAAAGTGAATTTGAAGAGCACCAGGAGCAGTAAAAACATTAGGCCTTCCGCCCAGCAATGCAGCAGCAAATAGACTCATTGGATCTAAAGTTGAATGATCAACATCATCATTGCGGAATGATGGATTACGTTCGCCAAAAAAAGTTCTAAAAGAGAAGTGTTTTTCTTCAAAAGAAGCATTCATCGAAATACAAACTGTAGAACATGATTTAGAATAGAAGCTGGATCAGACGGCCGATCAACTGGAAGATTATGCAAGGAAGATGAAGGATGATCGAAAGATCGAACAGCATTTGAATGTTGATATTCTAATGGAATGTCGACCGATCGATGGCTTCTAGAAAATATCAAAAGTGATAGAATCAATAAGATTAAGTTTTATTTACGAATGTTGTGGATACGATTGGGAGGGATGAGTTTCTTCTCGATGATGTATTCGATCATATTGATCAGAATTTCTTTCATATCTTGGATAATTTTGATCATGACGATATAATTGGGAAGCTGAAGAATAGTCTGTTGATGGTTGTTGACTATTAAGATAGTGACGATTAGATGAATGAGAAGAATCCTGATGGTCAGCATGATATGATTGAGGATGGCGTACAGGTGAACGCATAGAAGGAGGTTCTAATCGATATTGTCGATTCGGTTGATCGTCATATACATTCTAATCATTCAATTATTACAAAAAATAAGTTTCTTCAATATGAATCTCTGACTTACGTTCATACGATTGGATGATGATCTTGTTGAATTTGGATGTCCATTGGAATGAGAATATTCTCCATGATAATGATGAGGAGAATGAGAAGGAGGGGACGCAATATTTCTTTGTTGATAGGGTTGAAAAGTAGATTGATAAGCAAAATCTCTTGATGTTGGATGTACATTTCGTCGAGATGAACTATCCGATGGTTGATGCGATTGAAGGGTTACACGACGACGAGATGGTCCATAAGAATCGTCAAAAGTTTGACGCGACATGAAGAAAACACGTAAGAAATATGATTTCTATGATCGGTATAACTGCTTCAACTACTCGAAATGTGAAATCGGAGTTATGTAAGAAGAAAAGAAACTGACACTCACTGTAATACAACGATTTTCCAACATTGATTCATAGAGAGGCAAACACCAGAAAGAGCCAATGAAATTTATGCAAAGTATGCACAATGGCGACTATCGGCATCTGCCTCTTCCTCTTTCTCATGGTACACTTTAGGTGTGTAGGTAGAGGTAAACGTTGGTTGCACACGTTCTGCTTGTACACTACAAACACGTTTTCTCTATCATCTGTAAACGCTTTCTTTATGACATTCGATGTCAACACAAACGATGGTTTCGATTCGTGCCATACCACATGACTCAAAGAGAGGAAAGGATGATTACCGCGAATTCGATGGATTCTAATGGATCCTAGTGATTTGTAGCGAATTCTTTTGAATGATTGTAAATATAAGTGCATAAGGGTAGGTATGGGAGTGTGGGTGCAGGTGTGAGTGGATCATACAACATTCACATTCAACATCCCCATCCCACCCAGAATTCAATATCCATAGTGTGAGTTTTAAATCGTATACCATAAGTAAAAATAGAGTGGCTCAAAAGTCACTTAACCAAGAAAAAAACCAAATGTCGCCGACATATTTTGACTAAATGAGCTTGTTTTTCCACTACTGATATAGATATCATCATAGTTTATATTCATCAGAAAAATATTGGTAAAAACTGTTCTGAAATGTCAATGTTGATCGATACATAATTCAGGAGTTATGAAAAGAAAAATAATGTATCTCAATAGTTGCAAAAAAGTCTCACTATCAGGTAAAGAGTATCTAACATGTAACTGTTTCATCTCATAGTTTTATCAAAGATAAAGATTTTTTCTTCAGATGAAAATATCTGAAAATAGAAAACAAATCTTAAGACGTTTTTCAACAATTCAATGTTACCTTTATCACCAATAAAGCTTCATCGAAACGTGATCACTATTTTCGACTAACTTTAACCATTTGCTTTGAAATATTTTTCCACCGAAAGCCATACTCTAATTAAGGTTTCTCTAACAACTTCGTGATCGCAGTCATCGACACACGAGAATTTTATGGGGAGATCGCTTTAGGCAATGGAAGCTTTCTTGCACCCTAAGATTACAGCGGATCGAAATACACTATATATGATACAATATAAGTATTCAATTTTGTATTTGTTAATAAGAAAATCATGGTTAATGCTTTTAAATAGTGGAAAATCAGAAAATTTTCAAAAGAACAATCAAGAAATGATAACGGAATAAATATTATAACAACATTCAATTTCAGCAGTGTACGAGTACATGCGACATATTTATAGATTTTTCAATAGATTTCATTATATATATAGTGTGAGTGTGGATGTTCGTCTTCTAGTTATTTACACTCGCACCCACACCTATTGGCCTCAATGAAGAACTACACTACTCACCGAGAGTATTCTTGTGTAACTTCAACCATTCTTAAGACTACAAGTTTGAAATTTTCAGTATGTTTACAAACTTAGAAATGTAGTTCGACAAAACCAGCTTGTTTTCGATTGCTTGAGTTGAAAAGAAGTTATGACTAGTGGTAGCTTTTCTTAATATGAATTCTATAACACAAAAATCGAAGAAGCTTACAATCTGATCAAACTATTGTTATACATAAGATTTGTAGCTTTTGAATTATTAGGTGTGACTTGATGAAATTTATAGCATAAATAGCCGCATTAAAGAACTGCATGATGATAGACTCGCAAAGTCATTGGGCTTCTTTCCTCTTGAGCTATAGGAGCTACGATGAGAAAGGTTGCCATAGATCATCATTCCTTTATAGCTCAAGCAAACGAAACCAAGTTGATACCAGTAATCTACAATTTAAAGATACTACATAGGCTAATAATTTTACATGTTTAGCTAAAAGAATGTCTGAGACTGTAGGATGTAACGAGTTTGCCGAAAAGTGTATTTCTTCATTCAAGTTAATATTGATAGTTCTACACAATTCCTATTTTGCAGTTTTCTTATAAATAAAAACATTAACGAGTACTTTGTCATCAAAAATGAAGTCAGTCCTTTTATCGTCTAATTCTATATGACTCGCTCTTTATATTTATTCTTGGTTTTAACAAACAACATATTCTTGATCGTATTTCGACACAAATTTATGATTGTTTTTCATGCTACTACTACCTTTTTCACTTTTTATATTTAACGCCAAACACTATTTCGAATCTTAATTTAAACGAAGTGACTGAAAAAACTACTTCTATAACGTATGCATAAAGAAAATATTGCTCCGGTACTAAGCTTCCATATGCCTAGCGAATTTTATGACTGTTCATCATCAGTATTTTTCTTCTTTGCCTTCGTGTAATGGAAGAAGTGCAAAATAGGCAAATAAGAAGAGATAGAGTAAACTGTTTCATGAATCTATCTTCTCGCGTTCTGAATATATACATACGACAAACACCGAAGACTTTTTTTTTCACGACAAATTAACTAATATTTTCGTTTCATTAGAATATTATTTCAATAATGTTTGTTCAAGTCATCTAAAAGTTGATATCAAAATCTTTATAGCTCAATTTAAGTGCATTCAAATATTGTTTTCCTTGATCTCCAATTCTATTGTTTCTGAGATCGAGATCATTCAGTGTCTGTATTGAAGAGAAATCCCGCAAAATTACAAAAAATACTTAAAGGTTATCTCATTTACTTTCTTAAGTCGTAAAGCTTTAGCTAAATATTTTGCTCCGTTGTCTCCAATTTTGTTATAGTCGAGCTCCAATCTTCTTAATATCTTTAGAAATCAGAAAGTAATTTACAAAATAAATGCAAAAAGAATTTTAACTACTTGATTACTTCTCAATGCATCAGCCAAATATTTTATTCCGTCGTCTCGAATATGATTGCGGAATAATAATAGTATTGATTGTAGTGCCTATACGAAAAAAAAAAATTATTTAAAAGAAGATAGAGGATTAAAATGCTTTAACTTTGTTGTGCCGTACTACATCAGTCATATATTGTATCCCCTTATCCCCAATATGATTTTTCCCCAGATTCAGTGTGAGAAGTGTCTACATAAAAAAAACAGAAATACTGATGATGGATTATGAAAAAAGCACCTTGTCGTACAGTATTGTCTCGTAAAGCATAAACAAGATGTCGTATTCCTTGTTCTCCTATTTGATTGTCGTAAAGACTGAGATATGTCAATGTCTGAAAGTATTTTAAGATGCAAATATGTAAGAAACAAGAAAATAAAGTTAACTGACCGTGTTATTTCGTAATACATTACAGATAAGTTGTGTGCCGTCGTCGCCTATTTTATTTCCTTGAAGGTTAAGGTATTTGATTGTCTATGTAAAACATGAGGTAGTTTTACAAGAGTGATTGTAGGAATGATTTCCTTGTACCTGATTCTGTTGTGATGCTTCAATGAGATATTGAGCACCTTTTCCTCCAATTTTATTACATGGAAGATCAAGTTCTTGTAGTGTCTATATTGAACGAGAAGCAGCAAAATAACAAACAAGGAAAGCTAATCTTATTCATCTTGTTATCTCACAATACGTTAGCTAAATATTTCAGTTCATTTTTCGCAATTGTCTTATTTCCAATAGAAAAGCTCTTAAGTGAACTTTTCCTAACTGTATTCGAAATTTTGAGATTTTCATTTTTGTTTTTTTTTCTGTTGTACATTCATACCACTTCGAAGTATTCTATCCACATTAAACATATTTCAAGAATTACTGTAATACGATAAGTATCAGCAAATGTCAGGAGATGAAAGATTTTCGCTAAAATGCATCAAAGTTCTTATATTATGCTGTTCTTTCTCAAATATGAGTTTTTGATCTAAAAATACAGAATAAGGTCATTTTCTAAAGCACAGAACACCGAATCGATGCAACATTGTTTCCTGCTAACCAAAAAAAAAGTGTTTTGGGTCCTTCTTGCTATTTTAAAAGATGGAGAAGGTGTAGTCAAGAAATGATGTATTCTTGGGGATACTATCAGGATCTTGATGTTATTATTCAAAACAACAGTACTATATGAAAACTAATAAGCCTTAGCAGTCAACACAGTGTCTAGTGTCTGTAGAAAAACTTTTAGCTGTATGAGATATATTACAATTCATAAATGAAAGTGATAAAAGAGTCATTTTTACACGATTTATTTAATTTGACCTCCAGTATATATGAATTTTGATTTCAATAATATCACTGCATGCATAAATAGAATAAACCTAACTCTCACTTTCATATATAAAATTCAAAAGAGAAAGCACAATCATTTTTCACAATGAGAAATAATAATTTATAAAATAACTTTTCTATAACGATGGCACAAAATCAATAGATAAATTTTCATCTGAATTATAATTATTTTTTAGAATTAGAACTGCCACAATCTTTGTTCCAGGATTTTCGATTATTTATCTTAGATTATTATAGCACAGGTTCCAGAGTAAGTATAAAGACACAAGGCATTGCACAAGGATTATTACCACAGTGAAGATCAGGTCGAAGGAATGGCGTATGATACATCGCCAAGTTAACAGTAGAGTTAGGATATATTTCACAATGTTTTTCATCAACGACAAGGTTTTATCACATGCATTGTGAACTTCAATTTTGTTATCGAAAAACTAAATGAATAATCCTTGACAATGTTTGAAATGGACTCGATATTTTCAAGCTCGTTTAGAATGTAAAGTCAAAATCTTTGAGGATTATTTCGAGGCACACGATGAAACTGTTTCAAGTGATAAATTCTTGTTGAGTTAGCACACTATGGGTTTGGTGAACTTCAGTAAAGTATGAAAAGTCCAAAATGAATAAACATCCTTATAATTTCACCTCACAGTTACAGCCATTTTACCAAACTTCAGGCTATCGAATGATTGTATTTCGACTTGAATTTTTTTCCACAGACAGGTTTATTTGTGACTATCGTGTTCTGA